AAATAAGATAAAAATATTACACAATGCAAAAGCTAACATGAAAGTATTATATATTTTTTGGTATTTTCAAGATTATGTAAAGATAAAAATAAGTACTATTTTGTATATTTTTATTTAAATTTACGAAAGATACGTAAGCTAAAATATTTTTTTGTAATTTTTCATTTTTATGACGAAAATAAAGTCAAGAAGTCAAAAATAGTTGAAATAGCTATATTAGGCCTAAATTAAATCTTTTCATGCTAAAATATAAAAAATCTTGGGGAGGGTCAAAAATCACATGTCTACAGTAGCCCCCACAAATAGGAGCACATAACCAATTAACTCACCTATGGTGACAATTCCCTCTTACAAGGTTAGAAAGGAGACTCACCTCGCTTTGAAGTTCCATAACCGGCATTCCACGCCCTTCCGAAGACTCAAATTGATGCACAACGCTCCAAAACTAGCCAATAATTATGCAAATCCATTAATATATGTTCGATTACTCATAATAATCCAATTTATAACAATTCCTAGTCCCGATCGAAAAGTTGACGAAAATGTCCTCGGGCCCACGTGCCCGGATTCTGAAATTTTTCGAAGATAAAGTTTACCATAACCCCACGAACTCAAATATATAATTTATTCTCAATTCCATGTCCAAAATCGTGGTCAAAATCCAAGAATACTAATTTTCTAGGTTTTCCCTCAAACCCCAAGTTTTCCACAAATTTTCATGCTCAAATCCATATACAATTATGTATTTAACTCAAAACTAACATAAACCACTTACCTCATGCTTGGTGGTGAAAATAGCACCTCAAAGTTGCTCAAAAATCGGCTCCAATGGAAGAAATGGGGTTGAAATGAACCCAACCCCCGATTTAAAAGAACCTCACTGCCTCTAGCATTTTCGCACATGCGGTGCATAAACCGCTCCTGCGGCCCCCGCTTCTGCGGCGCACATGCCGCTTCTGCGGTCCCAGGCTCAGGGCCAAAAATTCGCTTATGCGGTCTCCTCAGCGCAGATGCGCACCCACATCTGCGGTTATAGTGCCGCACCTGCGGTCACTGCACTTCTTCACCCAAACCGCATATGCGACCCCATGGCCGCTTCTGCGGCTCCGCACCTGCGGCCAAAACCTCGCAGGTGCGGTTACACCAGATATCAGCTGACTCAATTCTTCCTCAAATTCTAAAATTGATCCGTTAACCATCCGGAATCCACCCGAGGCCCCCGGGACCCCGACCAATCCTACCAACCAGTCCCAAAATATAATGCGGACCTGCTCGAGGCCTCAAATCACATCAGACAACGTCAAAATCACGAATCACACCCCAATTCAAACTTTATGGATTTTAGAACTTCAAACTTCTACATTCGATGCCGAAACCTATCAAATCACGTCCGATCGACCTCAAATTTTGCACACAAGTCACATTCGATATTACGGACCTACTCCAACTTCCGGAATTGGATTCTGACCCCGATATCAAAAAGTCCACTTCTGGTCAAACTCCTCAAAAACCTTCAAATTTCTATCTTTAGCCAAATGACTCCAAAATGAACCACGGACCTCCGAATTCACTTCCGATCGCGCTCCCAACACCAGAATCACCATACGGAGCTATTCCCAGACTCGGAATCCCAAACGGATATTGATAACACTGAAATGCACTTCAACCCAAACTAATAAAATTCTTCCAAATATGCTAACTTCCACAATAGGCGACGAAACGTTCACGGATCTTCTAAAATCCGATCCGGACATACGCCCAATTCCGAAATCATCATACGAACCTGTTGGAACCTTCAAATCCCGATTTCGAGGTCGTTTACTCAAAAATCCAATCTTAGTCAATTCTTTCAACTTAAAGTTTCCGAAATGAGAATTCTCTTTCCAGATCAACTTCGAACTTCCCGGAATTCAATTCCAACCATGTGTACAAGTCATAATACCTGAAATGAAGCTGCTCATGGCCTCAAACTGCTGAACGACGCACTAGAGCTCCAAATGACCGATCGGGTCGTTACATTCATTAAGGTCATACGTGTCGGCCATTAATTATTCGTAGAAACTATATAATTCAATTGACTAAGGTTGTAATGTTAATTATATTTTTGCTCTTAATTATTTGTTCATCATATTATATTAAAATCATATGGGTTTCCAAATCATATTACATGATATTTTTTACACCTCATGTAAATAGTTTTCTCCATATATTTTTTAACCAAATCCAAGTAAATGAATCGATTTAATGGGAAGTCAACCAATGAATTAATGCGGTAAGTAGGGAGAATTTAAGGAGTTGCAAAACAATTCAATGCAGACCCGATCAGTCCTCTCATTCATCTGAACAACCCTTCTTCATTTAATTTTCATTGATGCATTAAAGACAGAAATCTCAAAAGCCAGAAACGGAATTGAAAATTCACTTAAACTGGTCCATATGAAACTAATCATTTGAAAATATATTTTTTCGTGTTTTATAAAATTTACGAAAAATGCCCTCTTCTAAAGCCAAAATATTTCTATGAGTGATATGAAATCAAACATATATGTAGTGAAAAAAATGTGATAAAGAAAAACATGATAAATTTTGACTAAAATTTGAAATAAAATATTTGGAGGAAAACAAAGGGACTCTTAAAATAACGATTTGATGGAGGGNTATATATATATATATATATATATATAAAACCTATATTTCCTACTCTACAAACATCACAAATACTCTAAATATGAATGCTAACGGATGGATTGAAGAGGAATACTATCCATGGGTTAGGATGAACGTGCCCATATCGTACATGAAGAGCGATCATATGGTAAATTCAAGTTTTTTCTTTTTTTAGTTAACATGATATATGATTTTTACCCTATCTTTCCATTACGCTTGTGCAGCACCCTCCAAAGAGCATCTGTCAATATCTTCCTCCTAGTACGGTTAAGACATTACTACGATGTCAAGGGAAGGAGTGGAATGTGACTCTAACAGGTGTTGTTCAAAGAAGACTCGTTAAGGGGTGGAAACAATTTGTTGTCGACAATAATCTGAAGAAAGGGAGCGTTCTTCTTTTTGAACTTGTAGAGGCTACATCAAGTGCTGTGATATTCGTTGTTGAAGTGCTAGGATAGAAACATCTAATGCTTAGGTTTTTCATGTAGGTCCTGTGTTCTACCCTTGTCATTAAAATATTTATGGATTAATATAATTTTCTTATAATATTATCTGTTATTTTTCCTTGTATTATTGTCATACTTATTATTTTAAGGAGAGTGGAATTATTGTCTGTGATTTTTGCTTGTTATAGTTTTTTCATGTTTATGAAAATTATTTTATACATTTAATATAAGGAAAAAAATGACTAAATCATAAACTACTTGGAAGAGGACTGGAAATTACACCCCCTCATCTTCTTTCGGATGTAATAGAACCCAGAACAAAAAAAAATAAAAAAATAAAAGAAAAAGAAAATCTTAATACAATTTGGTCATAGAGAATTGAAAAGGTCATCACGAATAACGAAAAGTTGTATTAATTAGTGATTCAAAGTATTGGAGACCGAAATATTAAATACAATTCAACCACCTCTAGACTCTTCGGATGAAAACAAAAGGGAAAGAACAATGTTACAGCCGGGATTCGAACCTGCGCGTGTGAGTATGAAAGGGAAAGAAATTGGAGATTTGATCAACCAGCGGGTCTATGGCCATTTCTGGTTGGATTCAATATTAGTAATACCTTTATTATGTGAGTTGATAAAAAAGAGAATAATTTATTAGTGGTTGTATCAATATTACAAATACCTCTCTTTGTTAGAATACAACGTAACTAACCCAAAATCGTGGGGAGAGATAGCAACAATAATGTAGTAGCTAAAATGCCATTAAAATCAAACAAACACTATAAGAAAAAAATTGTTATGTTAAAGTTTCATAAATCATTAAACACAAAAGTTTATAACAAACAAGCAAAATTTCTTCGAAATGTTCTGAACCAAATAAAACAAAAATGCAATTAGGCCTACTGAGAACTCCAAGTTTCAGCAATATTCTTTATTATAGTTCCAAGTCTGGTTCGGCATTCAGATCAAACAAGCTTGATTGCGATTGTGTAGCGTCAATTTGCTGCAATTACAATCAAACAAACACTATAAGAAAATATGATATGTTTAAGTTAAGTAATAAATCAAATGTAGTCGCAAAATTATACCTCATTCACACCTAGGGAACCATCATGCTCAATGTTTGTACCTCTGCCTTGCCCATTACCCCTACCCCTGCGTCCACCACTTCTACCGGCACCTCTACCACCACGATTGCCACCAATACTGCCACCACCCCTGCCACCCCTCTAACACCAGTTCTTGCGCCATTACTAGCTCCAAATACACCACGCGGTTGTGAACTTGTAAAGTAGTATTCAATTCTTCCTCTATATCGATTCAAACGCGGCCTGCCACGTGAATTAGTGTACTGGGGATCTCGTAGAGTTGTGCCTTCAGTTTCATCTGAGTCATCCTGGTCAGGGTTTGGCACGATCATTTCGTCGTCCCAGTTTTCAAGATCGTGCACCATCTTCTTCAAATTATGCTTAACATATTGAACCTTCACGCTAGTGCCCAGTGCTATATCACAAGCTACGTCAAAATACTTCAACATGCTCATGTATGTCTTATACTCAGGAGTCATGTTTGAGTAACCAACTTGATGGAACCGATTCAAGTGTGGCCTAATAACATCGCTTCTCCGCCTTGTCAGTATATACCTTTCATCAATTTTATCAATCTTCTTGTGCGACAAGATCTTGAGTATATGGCAACAAAGTATCCCTCTAGACTCAAACCATTTGCAGCTGCAACTAAAATAATCGCCGATAGGTATATATTCAATAGTGTACTCAACTGGATTTCCATCATTTTTCTTTATAACTGAATAATCACTAACGATGATTTTCTCAACACCGGGGACAACTTGATGATCGTCGAGGCTACTGACTTCACAATGATACTATTTCCTTAGCTGTGTCTTGAAACACTCATATACTGTACGCGTATAACACTGAATTTCCTGCTCCTCCCACTTGAACATTGACTCGCACACAATTTGAAAGCCCTTTGACCTGTATTCCGCTTCCAACTCTTTCTCATGCTTAGCTCTTATAACTAACTCATATTGGTGAACAAACATCCTAAGAGTGCTTTGACGGGTAATATATCCATTAAAGAACGCATGCATCCCCTCACTTCTTTGCGTAGATAGCATACCAGCCCAAAAATATACATCAAGGTACACAGGAACCCATTTTTCCTTCTTAGAGTAAAGCTTGTTGAACCAATTCCTTGTATGCAAATTATACCTTGCAATATATTCTGTCCATTTTCTCTCAAAAACTTCAATAGTAATGCTATCAAGGACCATGGATTTAAATTCTCCACGTGCAATTTTAGAAGGACGAACACCACTTAAGTAAAGAGGCAACTTTGAGAATATATGCCAAATACAATACCTATGTATTGTATTTGGCATCACTTCAGCAATGGCTACCTTAACGCTTTGACACTGATCAGTTATGATCGCATCTGGATGAGCATTTCCCATGGCATCAAGCCAAGTTCTAAAAACTAATTTGTAACTATCGATATCTTCATGAGACATGAGAGCACATCCTAGCAAGATGGACTGTCTATGGTGATTGATGCCAACAAACGTATCACATGGCATATTATATTGATTCACAAAGTACGTCGTATCAAAGCATATCGCATCATGGAATTGCTCATACGCTGCCTTACAGTGTGAATGCACCCATACCACATTTCGCAGCCTACCAATATTATCAACGTCGATTGAATAGAAAAACTCCCTATCCTTTACCTGGATTTCACGAAAAAAGCTGAGCAGCGACTGTGCGTCCCCTTCTTGCATTTCAAAATACCTACTCTCCAAAATAAAGTTTCTACAATCCTTTGGAGTGCAACCCAAATTTTGCGTCCACCACGTTGAACCTCAGCAAGTCTAATATTCTTGGAGGGTCTAATGCCAGATCGATCGTGAGCTACAAGATCCCTCTTCAAAGAATCACAAACGGACCTATGTCCAGCCATCAGGCGCGATATGGATGGGAGCAAATCATGATTGTGATCGTGAACGACCTTAGAGACGCGCCAACAACCAGAATCATCCAAAACAGCAGCTAGCCTAGCTATACAATTATTACTCTTGGTGGTAAACTTGGTTTTCCGAATCCTAGCCCTATCACAACAGTAAGTTATGTACCTGGCAGTGTCACCACCCTTCTTGTTGGAATTTCTTTTGACGGCGGAGAATCCTTTTAGTCGTGCATGTTCTTAGTAGAATGCAAACAAAGTATCTTTATCTCTAAATCGCATTCCAAAGATTGGACCTACTACCACATCCTCTTCAGTGAATTCATTCTCCATTTTCAAATCAACATCATATAACTCTGACTCATTTCCTAAAACCTACTCCTCATCATCATTAGCTTCTCCGTGATATTCTCCATCGGCTTCATCATCATCATCATCATCTAAGTGCACAACATTGTTGAAACTGCCGTGAGAATCAACATCGACCCATTCGTATTCATTCAACAAACTATCGTCCGATGCCATCCCTAAAGATCTGTACAACTCGTCCCTAACTCGATCAAACCCATTATCTTGGTTGATATTCATGGTTGTTGTATTTGTGTTATATTCATTTGGATTCATATTTTGTTGCACCGCCAAATTTTCTTGGTCTGAATCCATTTTTAGAGAAGGAGAAAGTGTCCGCTGGTTTAGGGTTTGGTAAGGAGGAAGTATACAAAATCGTATACCGTATTTGTTTTTAAGAAAGGAAGAAAACATAATAATTTGTTAAAAATACTAAATCGTATAATTTGTATAAAATACACATAAATACAAATATAATACACAAGACTTTTCAGCTCCCAACATTTAATTTTTGCATACTTCAAGGCTTGGGATTTAATTTTATGTTTTTGGAGCGAAAAATGTAGGCTAATTAGTTAGGAGGTATTTGATGTCTTTTCACTGGTGTGGTCAAAGTTGGGTCACACCAGTTGGGCCGTTTAGGCATGTCAAGAAAAGAACGCCAATTGTCATAAATCTTTCTTAATTTAAGTATATCTATGTTGATGAGAAGATTTTGTTTCTTTCCATTTTATGAGTAACAAAAAGGAAGGGCTTAAAGTAATGAACATATTTATTGCTAGTATTACCTTGATAAAAAGATTTAGATTGAGGTAGATTATACTGGATAGAGGTGTTCATAAAAACCCAAAAAACCGAACCAAACCGAAAACCGAACCAAACCGAAAACCGAACCAAACCGACCAAAAAAACCGATACTTTTTAGGTTTGGTTTGGTTTTGGTTTTGAATTTTAAAAACTGATCAAATTTGGTTTGGTTTTGGTTTTAATAAAAAAATAACCGAAAAAATCGAACCAAACCGACTATAAAAGTAGGTATTTAAATTTATTATTATTATATATATATATATATGTATATATGTATGTATATTTTTATATAAAGTTTCCAAAATTTTATGATACATATTAGTCGTTTGTGTTTTTAGTCTAATTCTTTACTATTATAATAATATATTTCTTTTCCTTTACCTTCTAGTTTGATTGGTAGTTTTCTTTTACTAAGTACAAGAATTTATAAAAATAATCAATTATTAATTGAGTACTTAAATTATTCATCACTGTTTGATTCAATTAGCATCAATATATCTTGGTAAATGATAGATTTCTCAAAGAGCAATTGGTTTGATAGTGTTACGTTGAAAATGTAGCCGCCGGAATATGCGTTTGGTAGTGTATGTCTCATATTTAAGAAAAAAACCGATAATAACCGAAAAACCCGAAACGCCGACAAAAACCGAATCAATAAAAAACCGACTTAATTGATATAGTTTGGTTCTAATATTTGAAAAACCGATTGTTTGATTTTTTTTTAAAGAAAAAACGGACCCAAACCAAACCATGAACACCCCAAATACTGGATCTTCAAAATCTGCAAGTAAAAAGGAAGAAACAAATAAAATAACGAATGAGTAAGGTGGAAAAAGATAGAAGCATTTATGTTTTTTCCTTCCCAAGCGGAAAGTAGAACATTTGCCTTAACTTCACTTTTCCATTTCTCAATCCAAGAAAATTTTGGAATATCTTTTTCGCAGAGAGCACAGGAGTGCGACAACCGTTACATCAGTTTTAGAGTGTAGAAATTACGTGGCGATCTCTAATTGGCTGTCTTAGTTTTCCAATTTCCTATGGAACTATTTCTTTTCTTTTACTACCACTAGAAGATCCTTTTCCCGAGAAGCCAAAAAAATAAAATAATGGGGTCGATGCCGTGAGACCTTATCAACCGTTCGATTTTAGCAAATTGACAATCCAACGACTCATGTTGACTAAATGACTGACGAGAGGAAACTTTTGCCATAAAGCAAAAAGCAAAATGACACATAGCACCACCCACAAAATTTCTATATATTGCGACTCACAAAAGAAGAAAACAAGAGCAGCTGAGCAATAGTAGTTCAAGCACCACCTCTTAACTTCAATCGAAAAGCTTGTGCTTCTCATTCACCCATTTTCTCTCTGTAAGTTATTCATCTTTTTGTTCTTTTCCCTTTTTACATTTGATTGTTTTAATTCGTAAGTATACATAGGTTGCTTTTGGATGCTCTTAAGTTTGTTTTCAACAGACTTGCTTCACGGGTACGATTAGATTTCAGTTCCTTTAATATGTTTTTGAGTTTTTCTTTAAGATTTCTGTTTTTGGATCGATTTTTGCAAGTGGATTTTGCTTCGTCTTGTCCCATTTGATTGCTTTAATCAACAATTGCATATAGCTTTTGGGAAATTTCCTTTCTTAAGCCCTTTTATTTCCGGGATGGCTGATCTTACACCTTTTTGAATTTGTACTCCATCTATTAATTGCTTTTTTGTGGCGGTGGCGCTGGGGTGGGGGGTGGGTGGGTGGGTGTGTATACCTGTACATGCAAGAAAAGTGGCAAATTGACTACATTACTGATTGATTCCATAAATTCAAGTCGGTTGTGATTTGGGTTGTGATTTTGTTGTTATCATAAGGTAATCTGACAGGAAAAAAAGACATGCTTATCTGCTAGTGAAGCAGTTAATTTGTTCATGTGAAAGGTATTGCTAGTAACCATGGTCTGGAAATTTGTATCCTGATTGTCTGATCATAATTGTTTTTGCATTTTTACATTGAATTTTCACCGAATCCATATATATGCTTAATGTTGTCTTTCCTTTTTCTCTTATTAAGCTTACCATGGCTGAAAATAATGGACAAGGGATTGGAAGATATTCAGGAACCTCTCGTGTTGCACTCAATGAAAGAATTCTCTCCTCTATGTCACATAGATCTGTTGCTGCTCATCCATGGCATGACTTAGAGATTGGTAAGTTGTTTTTTTTTTGTTACATATAACAAGAAAAATGAAAAGAAAAAAAGTAGAAAGCTATTCATGTGTAATTCTTTTTAATCAGCATTGGTATATCATGTGTATCAATTTCAATGTCTGGATATTATTTCATGGTCTTGTTATAAATTGCGCAGTGTGGGGTTTGGTGTCTTTTTGTACTTATGCTTGATGTTCTGCAAATGCAGGGCCAGGTGCTCCCGCAATCTTCAACTGTGTAAGTGTTTACGACAGATTATAGTAATTCTTTTTTGCATATTCTTGATAAAGTACTTAAGTTACTCCAGCAACCAGAATCTTCTTATACTGGCTGTACTTGTCTAGTTTTGCTTATGTAGTGCATATGACTTTTCATTCTTTCCAAAAGATCCTTGATTAAGTGCTAACATTTGTTGAATGTAGCAAAGTGTTTTGATATTTGCATACTGATTTATCTTTGAATTAGCGGCCATTCTCAACTGGAAAAATATAACAAAGGTTGGCACTGGAAAAGAATTCAAATGATATTTGCATGTCAATATTATATCTTCCTCGTAGCTGTTATTATCTGTCTGCGGGATATTCCCAAGTACTAAACAGATGGCATTAAGTTTCATTCAAACTAAAAGCTTAGACTTATGTGGCAGGTGGTTGAAATACCCAAAGGCAGCAAAGTGAAGTATGAGCTTGACAAAGCAAGTGGCCTTATAAAGGTGCTATCTTGACCAGTGATCTTTATTTCTATTCAGGCAGGAAAAAATCTGTCTCTATTTGTATTTCAAGCTGATTTCTCTTTTCCTTTTTATCAAGTCCCCTTCCATGGGCTAGAAAAATGTCTTTTGCGATGTGAAACTTGTATTAAGATCATTTCTAAGTCATTTCCTATTTCCTGCTTTCGTTATTGGAGAATTTGCAATGCTCTACCTTCATTACAGGTTCAGTGGGCAGAATGGTCAAGTATCAGATGTACATCCATGCATGATACCATTAATGACTTTGTGTTGCAGAAATAAACTGTAATCATTGTTTGATTGCCATGAAGTATTATAGATAATAATACTTGTTATACTAAAACTTAATGCACCAATGCATTTGTTTCCATAAGATTTTGTTGTTTGCTATGTCTGCTCAGATAAGATGTGATTCGGAAATGATATCTTTAGGACTTAATAAATGCAGCATCTATTTTCATTCTTAAATGAATATCTTGATTTTTTATTTGGAAAGAAGGGTGTGGTATCTTCTTTGGTCATTTTCTCTGCTTTTTGTATGATGTGTTAAATCAATTTACTCCTAGTGCTTTTTACATAAACTATGCTGTAAAGTTTTTCACAATCTGTTTCTTAAGAGCTTTGCAATGGAAACTAGGATACTTGTTCCATCTAGTCGGTTTTTAGTTGTTCACATTATGGATTTCTTATGCACTTCGCTATGGAAACTAGGATACTTGTTCCATCTAGTCGGTTTTTAATTGCATTATTCATTTAAGAATCTTCACTGTGATGATAATCATTTGACTCAATAGCTGAATTTGTGTGTAAAAGGTTGACCGAATACTGTACTCGTCAGTTGTTTATCCACACAACTATGGTTTCATCCCAAGAACCCTTTGTGAAGACAGTGATCCGATGGATGTCTTGGTACTGATGCAGGTTTGCCTCCTTTTACACACATACATGCACGTACGCACACATCTTCCTCAAGGCTCAATCTTGCATTACTTGTCTCAGTGTAAGCTTACCCCTGGGTACTCTAACATGCATTCTGTATGCTGTTTAGGAACCTGTGCTACCTAGTACCTTTCTTCGTGCTCGTGCAATTGGATTGATGCCTATGATTGATCAGGTAAGGTTTTTGAATAAATGTAAACTTTTTGCCACATGTACTTTGAAGATGATGAAAAATGCTTGAAAAAAAAGCATTTGCTTTTAATTTTTATAATAGGAGTATGTTTTAATTTGTTTCCTTTAAGTTTTATTG